GTAATTTCGAGAAGAAAAATATTTTCGGGCTCTACACCCCGGTTCCTTCCGGGACCATCTCAGGTGTAACCCCCATCAATGAAGAACCTTAATTGGATTCCGCTCGGGTCTACCTGAGGGCATTCACTAAGGCTTTAAACCTTGGATCTGATCTTAAACCACTCGAGGATAACCTTCCGGGTTTAAATTCCCTGCCTAGTGATCACTCCCCTCATGCTACTCCCATGCAGAAAAATATTTTCGGGCTCTACACCTCGGTTCCTTCCGGGACCATCTCGGGTGTAACCCCCATAGGTGAAGAACCTTAATTAGATTTTGTCCGGGTCTTTCTAAGGGTATTCTCTAAGGCTCTAAACCTCGGTTCTGATCTTGAACCTCTCGAGAGTAACCTTCCGGGTTAAAATTCCATGCCTAGTGGTCACTCCCCTCGTGGTAATCCCATGCAGAAAAATATTTTCGGGCTCTACACCTCGGTTCCTTCTGGGATCATCTCAAGTGTAACCCCCATCAAAGAATAACCTTAATTGGATTTCATCCGGGTCTACCTGAGTGCATTCTCTAAGGCTCTACACCTCGGTTCTGATCTTAAACTGCTCGAGGGTAACCTTCCGAGTTTAAATTCCCTGCCTAGTTGTCACTCCTCTTGTGCTACTCTCGTGTAGAAAAATATTTTCAGGCTCTACCCCTCGGCTCCTCCCCGGACCATCTCAGGTGTAACCCCCATCGGTGAGGAACCTTAATTGGATTTCTCCCGGGGCTACCTAAGATCATTCTCGAATCAATGAGGAACCCCAAACATCCCGATTCCCATTTGAATAGGGGCTAACATCTAGCAAATCTGAAAGATATTCCCAGGCTAATACAGGCCCATACAAAACGGATTAACGACGTCAAAGAGGATTAAGGCCTCTCTTCTGAACTGATCACTATGGTTTTTGTCAGAACCACGTGAACAGAGGCCTACCATACATTCGTAATCCTCCTACAAACACGCAAGGTGGAAACGGCATACAAAATAAAACAAAAATGAAACCAACAACTTGGAAACTTAAAGCCTATAGGGAGATTGTCTGGACAGGAAAAATATTTTTACGGACATTACAAAATGCACGCACTTAAAAAGGGTGACTAACAAATTATTCAAAACAAATGAAGTGGAGCCTAAGATCACTTAGTCACTTCGGCTGGAGAAGCATCATTCCCATATGGACCATCAGTGACCGGGGATCCATCAACATCCTCCATATCTACCAGCTTGTCATCCATGATACTCGTGAAGAAATCCACAGAAGAAATATCCAAGGTTGGATAAAGGCACATCACCTGATCTTTCGCCTTGTCAAAAGACACATCCCCGACATTAAGCGTATCCATACGAGACCTCTTTAAGGATTGTTGCAGGTCAGCACAAGACTTCTTCACTGTGTCTAACTCCTTGGAGAGCTTGGATTCAGAAGCCTGGAGATCTTCACAGCTTTTGGTGAGGGTCTTAGTCTTTGAAACTTCACCAACTAGACTCTTCTCCAAAGCAGAAACTTTATCAGCATAGGACTTCTCACTGCCCGTCAATCGGTCAACGTCTTTCTGCAGATTGACACACTTATCCTCCAAGTCATCCCCGAATTCAAATAGTCCCCGGGCCAGCACAACACAATGCACCAGATAAGAACTCAAATGTTGATTAATCTTTTGGCATCTGATACTCTTCACCTTGTTAAGATCCTTGGTAGCGTTGAGGTGGTCATAAAGAAACTTCAGCCCATCGAAACTATTAGACCAAAATTTATTCTTATTTGAAGGACAGGTGGAGCCGTCGCTAGGCTCCTACATAAAAAGCGAGATCTCCTAATTTTCCCTACAAACCTCATCCACCATCATCGTCCTCAGCTTTTTCTAGGGTTGTTCAATAGTGTCCTCAATGGTCGAGACGACTTTGGCCGGTGACTGGGGCTCGCTGATCACAATGCCCAACCTCGGGATGGTCCATTTCTTCTTCTTCAACGCCCTGAGCTCTAGACCAGAAAGATCGGGCTTAGCCTTCGAAGGACCCTCGGTTCCTTACCGAGAAGCACAGAGTGCGGCCATCAGTTTCTTTTTCTCCCTAATAGAAAGTTCAGTCATCTTATCTGTAAAAAGACATTAAAAGAACGAATGAGAAAATAAGAAAAAGATTTGTAATGGACGACCAATTAAAAAGAATCTTACCCAAGAAATCTGAAACCTCTTCAACAGAAAAAGGTAACAGGTCCTTGACCTTGAACAAATGGAAAGAATCTAGCAATTGCAAAGATTGAACCTCAAGATCACTCAGCTTATCGTAGTTAAACCCGGATATGGGTAAAGGTTTTCCAGTCCAATATAATGGAAACTTGGGATGGCCTTCAGCGGAATAGAGGACCTGGGGACATCTCGGGCCGCAACCAATACGTAAGAACTGGTCCTTAAAACCCTTATAATTTATAGTGTAAGCTTGAAGGAAGCTCCTACGAGGAACATTACTGATGGAAATCCAGCTTCCGAACTCTACATTTTTTACTTCAAAATAGGAGAAGAACAAGCCAATGATCGGCTTCACATCCAGGGCGTCGTAGACCATCTTGAAGGCCTAAATAAAACCCCAATTGTTTGGACGAAGTTGGGAAGGAGCCACATTTATTATCCTCGGGACGTCAATCTCGAAGTCAGAAAAAGGAATATGAATGAGCATATCCTCCAGCACACCAGCATAGAAATAAAAATACTCATCTTTCACCCCTCTGGGCCGGGAAATACAAACTCTTTCGTCGAGCATGCAGGCCTCCAGAACGGCGTCATCCTCATTCCCGGTCGAAGATACCTTTCGCGAAGAGAAGAGTTTTGCCACTTCCACTCCATCCAAGGAACTTTGACCGTAGCCCGTCACTTCTTCGTTAAAAGGAATAGAGTTTTCCATCAAGATTTCCACAGAACCTAATGAAGAAGTGAGTCAGAGTCACTTTCAGAAGTAAAAATCTCACCATAAACCTTATCCATAACCCGGGAAAATTCATCTACACTTAAGGCATCTCACATCTCTTGCATGCACTCATCCCATAAAGCTCTCTGCGCCTCATCGCTTTTAAGAATCTTATGACCCAGAATGTCACACTATATTATGATCACCATCCTTAAAAAACAAGAGAATGTACGGAAAAATAATAGAAAAGGAAAAGAGTAATACTTGGAAAAATTTAGCGTCTGGAGATTTTGAACGAAAGATTTCTTTGAAAAAACGCTTGCAAAGGAGAACTTTCAGGAGAGATGAAAGAGGAATAGACTTAAAAAGGAGTTATGGAAGGAAAAGATTGGAGCAGAGGAAACGTCTATAAAATGAAAAATTGACCCACTAATGATTATATCTAAAAACTAGGTGACTGTTGGGAAGACTATGGCGTGGATGCCACGCGTGACGGGAAGGAACCTGGCCTAGGATAAAAGATAGTCGATCATCAACTTATGACAAGAATTTGGTTCGGGACCAAAGGATCAATTCTCACGTTTACCGAACACAAAGACATCAGAAGAAGCCATATGTTTGTGGGGCTTATGTTCATACATAGATCCATTGGCCGGGTTAGTAAGGATAAGAAGGATCATGCAAGGATAGATGAATCGGGCATTGCATGTTGGATCGAGTAGGACATCAGATCAAAGAGCTTCATGACTGAGCCGAGTAGTGAGGTCGGGGGCGGTTATGGTCGATCATACGAGAAGATGAAGAGACATTGGACGAGCTCATATGTCGGATACTGTCACTGGGTCTAGACGTTATAAACATCCCGACATTGATGAAACCGTTACGCAATGGCTAGCTATTTAAGAGAGAAACCGCTCATCAATATATGACGGTGCACGTTATAACGGCTACCATCATTAGTGACGGCAGACGTTTCTAACTTTGATGGCGGCCCAGTTACGATCAATGAAGAGTCACAACGATTATGAACAACGATCAGTGAGGTCCACGCACCTCCATATAAATAGGGCTCCCGATTGAGGGGTATGCAAAACGCATTGTTTGGAGCTCACGCGCACTTGTGTAAGCCTCTGAATCCCTTAACATAATATACAAAGCAATTTTGTTCATTAGAGACCTTCTCTAAAGCCTTTGAATTCGTAGGAAAATCGTCCTTAGTGTTCAACAAAAACAAAATATATATATATATATATATATATATATATATATATATATATATATATATATATATATATATATATATATATATATATATATATATATATATATATATATATATATATATATATATATATATATATATATATATATATATATATATATATATATATATATATATATATATATATATATATATATATATATATATATATATATATATATATATATATATATATCCGTAGAACTATTTAAAATACACAGTCATAAGACGAAAGGCTCTACCTTTAAAACTATATCTTAAGCTTTGCTGCTACTCAAGCTCTCATTATAAAGGTCAAGACAATGAAACATACTGAACTTGCTTGGTTAATCAACTCATAGGATAACAAATGCCATAAAATTAATACATACTTGCCAAACGCTTGAAGAACAGTCATGTAAATGAGATTTATAAAGGAGAACAACGATGAAAGTCTGAAAACAGATGAACTGATGAGAGGAGAGTTACCATAGAAAAAGATGGTGGATCTTTTCTCACTCGTACTTTCAGGATGAGTGAACAGATCAAATATATATACTACTCCTTATAAAATTGAGGGTAATTTAGTCTTAATGACTTGTATCAATGAAAATTTGTGATATAAAATAAAATTTTAAAATAACATATTGACTTGGATGGTTCAGCAAACAATTGTCAAAGTATAAGACATAAAACAGCATGTAGAATCTTCGTTGAAGCAGTATCGTGCTGTGTCAAGGTTGAGAAGGGTTGCCTAAAGTTGTCTTTGAACTATTTTCTTTATGCAGTAACTATGTATATTTTATCTGAATATTGCGAAACCAGCTATTGAGGAGTAAAAGGTGAAGGAAATCCCTTGGCATATCGATTCTCCAGCTCAAGAAGCGCCAATGATTTCTGCCTCTGATATTTGCTTCTCTTGGCTGCTAGAGCTGCAAAAGAAGCCACATGATTCACATGTCCAAGGTCTATAAATACAACATTTTAATCCGAAACTATAACATTTAACAAAAAATCAAGCATTTTTCATTCAAATTGTACTCACCCATTATATCATAGGGTAGATTAAAGTCATAATCGTTCCTTTTCCTTATGCAGTAGATATACACCAGCAGCATTACCATGCAGAAAACTAAAATACATGACAAGACTATCGCAGTTTTAGCCCCAGTCGATAATCGGCCCTGCTTCCAGCATGGTGGTAGAGATGGTATACTGCACAAACCTTTGTTGCCAGAGAGACTGAATGAAAACAAAACAAATTGAACAAAGAGAAAGAGATTATTTCTCATTGTCCAACATGTGAATTGAACACAACAGGCGGAATCAGATAGAGTAAGCTAGCATATTACTATTGAAGTGACTTACTCAATAGCTCCACCACGCACACCAACTGAAAAAAGTTGCGCTGGCACTCGTCCTTCCAATAGATTATCATTCAATAGCCTGGCAGGTACAATGTGTTATAAACTTTACGTGACTACGACCGTTATTTAAAACTTTGCTAAGTGTGTAAGTAAAAGATAATTGCATTAGTCAATACAGTGAATGCTTACACAAGCAGCAAATTTGAAGATGCCAAACTGTCAGGTATAGAGCCTGTTAACTGATTGTTGGATAAATCCCTACAGAAAACATTTTGGAGAAAAATTAAGAAGAATATCATATAAATAACATCGTTAAATTTTCCTTATGGTATTACCAACAGAACAAGTGTCCCTGCACTGATCTCGTCTCTATTTTGGATAACATCGAAAAACAAGATTGCAACTAACTGTATCTAGTAGATAATATCTGATCTTACACTTTAACCATGGATTTTTGACCTAGTTCTGATGGTATTTCGCCTCCCAAGGAGTTAGAACTCAAGTTCCTGTAAAATCAAAGAGAAGTTACCAATATATAACTGAAATGAAACCAATATGAACATGACCAAAAACTAATTTAGGAAAGCACATACAGCACACAACAGAAAGCTGATACAAGATCAATATGTCAGGAACTCTAGTAAAGATTTCAAGGACAAATAAATTCAGAAAAGGTTAAGGAAATTTAGCCACTGATCATACTTACAGGCTAACTAAGTCTGATAAATGACTTATCTGGTCACTTATGCTCCCTTTTAAGCCTTGACTACCAAGATTTCTGAAACGATAACAAGAACAAATATAAAATCAAAACTCTGCTGGGAGAGGAAAGTAAAGAAAAACGAGCTAATGTCTGAAGAAGAAATCGTCTGCAACTCGAACCTTCCTCATAAAACAATCATATGGTAAAAAGCATCATGCAAATTAGTACAATTTATGTATTCATCACATACTTGGAACATGAAATTTGAATCGTTTATAGATTTAATTTAATGATTGAAAGTTGAGAGCTGAGAGTAAGAACAACGTAGCAGAGAAGTGGAAAGAATGGATTACATTTCAGTAATGATGAGAGCAGTTTTATCATCACTGATACGGCAGGTAACACCCTCCCAAGCATCCCAAGTTGTAGGAGCACAAGGATCACCATTCCAACCCATTCTTCCCGGAATTCGAAGAGATTCTTTCAATGACTTCATAGCACTTACTACAAAACAATCACCCATAACCTATTAAGCGCACACACACAAACACTGAATAGGCCACTAACACTAACGCATAGACACAAACACGAGCCCACACAATGTGAAGTGTTAGTTCTAACTAGCCCATAAGTATTGTCGTAATTGACAACCAATAAGACAGAAAATACAAATAATTTGGGGGAAAGGAGAAACCTTGAAGAGGGTGAGTTGAAGGTTCATTGGGAACCAATGCATAATTCTCAATGCCACTAATAAGAGGAGCACCAGAAACAGCAACAAGTTTAATCCCCAAAACGTTACTGCTCAAGTTTTTAACAACATGATGCCAAGTGAAAACCGCAAAACTACCCACTTCTTTGTATATATCAACTCTAGTTGCATTCTTTCCATTGATGAACACATCAAAAACTCTTTCTCCAGCTCTTTTAACACTCGTATCAATCTCAGCAAAGTGCAGCCACACCATATAGTCCATCTTCGCGTCCACACTCAATTCGTACTCCAACGAATCCACCTCATTCGTCACAGCCGTTTGGTAAAGCTTCATCGGAAAATAGTTAGGTTCCTTATCCGCACCGCGTATGGTGCTCCCCGTTGTTACATCCCTAACGGTTTCGTCCGGTCTCAATAGAAATTGTTCGTCGGGTTGCCATGACCGGCCGAATTTGTCGGTGTTGTTCACGGATTAGTTAAAAAAAAGAGTAGCCACTGAGAAATTTATCGGGTCGAGTCGCGGATCGGTACGCTTTCTTTAAGACGTTTCGCCGGATGCCAACAAAGTGCAAGGCAGTCGATAATAGGCGACGTCTCCAGGATAAAACAGCCCGTTCGAATAAAATACGATTATCACTTGCACTGTGATAAATCGTTCTATGAATAACACCTTCTGATGGTGTAGAAACCACTCGTAGTATCTGCCAAGAAGCAGTCGAAAAACAGAGTAAGAAAAATTGAGATGAAGCAGAATAGAGAGAGAGAAGAGTGAAAACGAGATTGTTAATACTGGAGTTATTTGCAAATGAAATAAATCACTAATTCAACAAAACAGTTCGAAAAAGTAGGAAGAACGTGGGAGAGGGTTGAATTGGCCCAGTCAAAAGTAACTGTTATTGCTTGGTCAGACAGTCATGCGTTTTGACTCTTGGAAGGCAAGTAATTGACACGTCACTAATTCCGTAATTAATTAATATTAAATATTAATTAATTTCCACTATTTTTAATTAGTTAATGCTAATTAATTCCACCGAATTAATTAATTATTAATAATCATTAATAATTAATTTTCACCAAAATCCGGTTCAAAAAATTAATTCATCTAGACCGAACCGAACCGAACCGAGCCGAGCCGAGCCGGCCGGTCGGACGGACGGCGGCGGCGGCGCGCGCGCGTGTGTGTCTAGATGACTTAGTGGTGTGTCCTCACTCCTTAACAAAATTGGGGTGCCCCTTGGGGCCCAACCCAAGTGTCCAAGTTGGAGTATTTATGCACTACTAGAAGTTGTGTTCCCTCCAATGTGGGACTTAAATGAATCCTTTCAAATTCACTCACAAACTAGTTCATTCATGTGCTCATTAATTGCCCATTTAATGTCAATGAATCATTCCAATTCCCAATCCAAGTTGTCATCATTCCAAGATTTCCAACAATCCCCCACTTGAATTTAAAAGGTGATTTTAGAGGTAACGTCAGACGTTTCTAAGATTGTGCATAAGCAAAGGTGTCTATGACTTGAACCTTTGCGTAGCAAGTAGGATTCTGATTCAACAAGAGTGACACAATTGTCTTGAACTCTATCTCAGACATCAGACCCGCACACAACCTTTTCTTTAAGGTGTATTCTAATAGCCCGTGCTTTAATGGCCCTGCACGTGTATCCCGGTTTAGTGAAGGCTCTAGGAATTTTGCCTCGCAATTCCATAGGAACCGACCCAAGTTCCACAATCACCAAGGTGAGTCTATCAAGAGTACTCCTGTAGTCTAGGTACTCCCTCATACAGAGTATAGATCTCATTAAGAGTTTCTATTATCTCAACCTCTTATTACTTCAGGAATCATGCTTCTCTTGCATGATCATCTCATATCACTCACAACTTGTTATTACCCATTGAACCTATTTCTTGGGATCTCCAGTCATTTAGGTCGGGTTACCATTGTGAGCAACTCATATTCATATAGGCATTAGTCCCATCTTATATGATGTGTTATAGACTTTCTCTCTAGCTAATCCTTTCGTCAAAGGATCTGCTAAGTTTTCATCAGTGCGTACATGATCCACTCTTACAGCTCCTTTAGAGATACAGTCTCTAATGGTGCTGTGCTTTCTTCTTATTTGACGTCTTTTACCATTATAATAACGGTTCTCAATTTTTGCAATAGCCGCGGTACTATCGCAGTGGATCAACACAGCTGGCATAGGTTTTTCCCATACGGGAATCTCAGCTAGCAAGCATCTTAACCAAGTTGCTTCTTCACTAGCTGTGGCTAGTGCTATCATTTCAGACTCCATTGTGGACTGAGCCAGAATGGTCTGTTTCTTTGATTTCCAAGATACAGCTCCTCCGGCTATACTAAATATATAGCCACTAGTAGCTTTGGAATCATCTGACAAAGTATTCCAATCAGCATCACTGTATCCTTCAAGTACAGCAGGAAATCTCTGATAATGTAAACCGAGGTTCACAGTCTTTTTGAGATATCTCATGACTCGCTCAATAGCTTGCCAATGTTCATTACTTGGTCTACTAGTAAACCTGCACAACAATCCCACGACATATGCAATGTCAGGTCTAGTACAGTCAGTAGCATATCTAAGACTTCCAATGATACTTGCATATTCTGTCTGTTTAACACTTTCACCAGTGTTCTTAAACAGTTTCATGCTTGGATCGTATGGAGTGCTAGCAGGTTCACAATCAAAGTAATTATATTTCTTTAAGATCTTTTCCACATAGTGTGATTGATCCAAAGAAATTCCTTGTTTGGATCTAGTGATCTTGATACCGAGGATTAAATTTGCTTCTCCCAGGTCTTTCATATCAAAGTTGTTGCACAACAAAGATTTCACATCATTAATAGTCTGAATGTTTGATCCAAATATAAGTAGATCATCTACATAAAGACATATGATAGTGCAAATGCGATTCTCAGATTTGTAATAAACGCATTTGTCACTTTCATTCACTTTATATCCATTTGATATCATTAAGTTATCAAATTTTTCATGCCATTGCTTAGGGGCTTGTTTTAGTCCATATAGAGACTTGTCTAACTTACAAACCTTGTTTTCTTGTCCATGGATCACAAACCCTTCTGGTTGTTCCATATAGATTTCTTCCTCTAAGTCACCATTTAAAAAAGCTGTTTTAACATCCATTTGGTGTACTATTAAGTTATAAATAGCAGCAATTGAAATAAGTACCCTAATGGATGTGATTCTAGTGACTGGAGAGAAAGTGTCGAAGAAATCTATATTTTCTCTTTGTCTAAAACCCTTGGCTACAAGGCGAGCCTTGTATTTATCAATAGTTCCATCAGGTTTTAGTTTCTTTTTCAGAACCCATTTACAACCGATCGGTTTGCAACCAGGAGGCAAGTCTACTAAGTGCCATGTCTTGTTAGAATCTAGGGATTCTATCTCATCATTTATAGCTTCTTGCCATAAATCTGCATCTAGAGATGACAATGCTGCTTGAAGATTTATTGGATCTTCTTCTATATTATAAGCCGCATAATCAGGCCCATAGTCTTTAGCGACTCTTACTCTTTTACTTCTCCGAAGTTTTGTTTCTACTTCGTTGTTGTTTTCTGTACTTCTTATCACAGGAATGTGACTCGATTGGGTGCCCCCACTATTTCTCAGTTTGAAAGGAAATTTGTCTTCATAGAATTCAACATCATTTGATTCTATGATTACTTTTGCATTTAGGTCGTAGAACCTATATGCCTTACTGTTTGCTGCATATCCAATGAATACACATTCATATGCTCTACTAGCGAGTTTAACTCGTTTCGGATCCGGAATTCTGACATAAGCCAGGCAGCCCCAAGTTCTCAAATAAGACAAGTTTGGTTGTCTTTTCTTTAATATCTCATATGGTGAGATCTTACTTTTTGACTTGGGGATTCTATTCAGGACGTAGCAAACAGTCAATAAAATTTCCCCCCACCAGTGAGGAGCAGCACCAGAATTTATCATAATTGCAACAACAAGTTCGGTAAGAGTCCTATTCTTTCTTTCTGCTTTACCATTCATTTCAGGAGAATATGGAGCAGTCGTTTCATGTACAATTCCATGTTCTTTATAAAAGTCATTAAATAACCCAGAATCATATTCAGTCCCCCTATCACTACGAAGTCTCTTAATCTTCTTACTAAGTTGATTCTCAATTTCAGTTACATATGTCTTAAACATTTCAAGCGCTTCACTTTTATTCTTCATTAAGTATACATAAGTATAATCTGAATAATCATCAATAAAAGTGATAAAATAACGTTTATTGTTTCTAGTTAAACTTCCATCTAATTCGCATATATCAGAATGTATAAGATCTAGGGGATCAGATTCCTTATTAATTGATTTATGCGAAGTCTTGATTATTTTTGCTTGACTACAATATTCACATTTATTTGTATCATTAATACTTAATTTAGGGATTAGGCCCAAGTTGCTTGCATTATGCATAATTCGCTTATTAACGTGACAAAGTCTAGTATGCCAAATATTAAAATCACACAAAGAGTAAACAGAAGGAGAAATCTTATTAAAATCAACATTCAACTTAAACATGCCATCAGTGGCGTACCCTTTCCCAACAAAAATACCATTCTTAGTGATGGTGTACAAATCTGCCCCTAAAGTTTGACTAAACCCTGCCTTATTTAAAAGAAAACCAGAAACAAGATTCTTCCTAATTTCAGGAACGTGCATGACGTCCTTCAAGATCAAAGTCTTTCCTGAGGTGAATTTCAGCTCAACATCCCCAATTCCAGCAACCTTAGTGGTGTGAGCATCTCCCAACAACACTTTCTTATCTTCAGCATTCATGTATGTTTTGAACATAGCACGATCGTAGCAGACATGACGAGAGGCGCCAGTGTCTATCCACCAACCATCACTTCCACCAACCATGTTGACTTCAGTGATCATAGCAATGAATTGCTCATCAGTCAGGTTAACCTGAGCATTTGAGCCAACAACAGGTTTAGGCCTGCTCTTACACCTTTTTGCCATGTGACCCGGTTTCCCACAATTGTAGCAAGTGAAAACCGGAGCATCATTTCTCTGTGGTGGTGGTTGCTGCCTAGCAATTGGAGCATTTGGGGCCCTAGAGGGATTCCCATTCTTAATTCGGTTCATAGCATTGCGGTTCTGATTCTTTAATGGTTTGCCCGTAGGCTTCAGAACCGCACCGAATTTCTTTTTGTTGTTCGAAACAACTAAGACTTCATCTTTCTGATCTTGTCTTCGAGCTTCCTCTTCAATTCGGAGGCGAGTAATCAAACTTTCGATGGAAAACTCTTTGGTTTTATGGCGAAGCATATTTTTGAAATCTTTCCAAGCAGGGGGCAGTTTGTCAATAATAACAGCAATTTGAAATTGTTCATTCAGAGGCATACCTTCAGTTATGATTTCATGAGCAATTTTCTGAATTTCGTGGCTTTGAGTTTCCACAGACTTTTCATCCACCATCTTGTAATTCAAGTAGCGGCTGACAGCATATTTCTTTGCACCTGCTTCTTCGGTATCATATTTCTTCTGCAAGGCTTCCCACACTTCTTTGGCAGTGTTGTAATTACTGTAGTAATCGTACAGGTCATCAGCAAGACCGTTCAGGATGTGATTTTTGCATAGGTAGTCATTCTCTTGCCATATGGCAATTTCTTTTCGAAGCTGTAAATCATCTGCTGCGGCTTTGGCTTTCGCAGCAGCTTGTGCTTCAGCAGAGCTGGGAGCTATGTCAGAAGTTACAATGGTTGCAGCATCAGTTTGTTCGGTTGATCCAGAAGGAACAACAGGGATATCCTCAGTCAGAACGTGGGCAACCTTCTTGATAGTCAAGAAAAATCTCATCTTAGCTTGCCAACGTTTGAAATGAGAACCCTCAAACTTAAACGGTTTGTCAGTGACAGCAGCGACCGCATTATTACCGATAATTTCCTCAGTAGCCATGGCAGTTAAGGCAAACGTCTTAAAATTGTTGTTCACGGATTAGTTAAAAAAAAGAGTAGCCACTGAGAAATTTATCGGGTCGAGTCGCGGATCGGTACGCTTTCTTTAAGACGTTTCGCCGGATGCCAACAAAGTGCAAGGCAGTCGATAATAGGCGACGTCTCCAGGATAAAACAGCCCGTTCGAATAAAATACGATTATCACTTGCACTGTGATAAATCGTTCTATGAATAACACCTTCTGATGGTGTAGAAACCACTCGTAGTATCTGCCAAGAAGCAGTCGAAAAACAGAGTAAGAAAAATTGAGATGAAGCAGAATAGAGAGAGAGAAGAGTGAAAACGAGATTGTTAATACTGGAGTTATTTGCAAATGAAATAAATCACTAATTCAACAAAACAGTTCGAAAAAGTAGGAAGAACGTGGGAGAGGGTTGAATTGGCCCAGTCAAAAGTAACTGTTATTGCTTGGTCAGACAGTCATGCGTTTTGACTCTTGGAAGGCAAGTAATTGACACGTCACTAATTCCGTAATTAATTAATATTAAATATTAATTAATTTCCACTATTTTTAATTAGTTAATGCTAATTAATTCCACCGAATTAATTAATTATTAATAATCATTAATAATTAATTTTCACCAAAATCCGGTTCAAAAAATTAATTCATCTAGACCGAACCGAACCGAACCGAGCCGAGCCGAGCCGGCCGGTCGGACGGACGGCGGCGGCGGCGCGCGCGCGTGTGTGTCTAGATGACTTAGTGGTGTGTCCTCACTCCTTAACAAAATTGGGGTGCCCCTTGGGGCCCAACCCAAGTGTCCAAGTTGGAGTATTTATGCACTACTAGAAGTTGTGTTCCCTCCAATGTGGGACTTAAATGAATCCTTTCAAATTCACTCACAAACTAGTTCATTCATGTGCTCATTAATTGCCCATTTAATGTCAATGAATCATTCCAATTCCCAATCCAAGTTGTCATCATTCCAAGATTTCCAACAGTCGGTGTCATTGGTGAAGCCAGGACCCCAAGGATCGCCTGAGCCGCATGAGATTCTACCGTAGTTAACAAGAATGAGATCATCTCCGGTGGAGTTAGAATCATATGAAGCAGATTCAACAGGAAAAAGCTCGATGGAAGAGACGATTGGAGCATCAGTAGCGAAGCCATAGAAGCAAAGATCTGCGGATAAAGAAGTGTTGAAGAAGGCGAATATATCAGAGTAAGCACCGTCGCGAGCTGTGGATTCCGGCCAGGGAGAACGCCAGTTGAAAATAATGGTGCCGGAGAGGGCAACATCGAAGGAAGGAGGACGTGACTTGTCATCGAAGTTATCATAAACGGTGAAAGTGCGGAGAAGGTAACGTGCGGAGGGGAGAGATGAGAAAGAGTAACAGTTTTTTTTGCCGTTGGAAGAAGAAGGGAAGAACCGGAGCGTTTTTTCGGATGGGAGTTTGAAGCGGAGAGGCTCGGAGACATCGGAGGCGGATCCGCCGGTGAAGAAACGGTCGGAGAGCCATGTTGTGTTGAAGGAATCAGTTAAGTTAGTTGAAGTGCCGCAGTTAATATGGTAGGAGGACAAACCTGCAATATAAATAAAATAAGAGGAAGGGTTAATGTGCAATAAAAGAAAATATAGTGAATGAGTAGAGTAGAGTTGTTAGTTTAGCTACCGTAGGGAAAGGATGGGGTTGAGGTAGAGATGGTGGTAGTGAAGAAGATGCATAAGAAGAAGAAGAAATTTGGTAGAATTAGAATCATTGTTTGGAGAATGAATGAGGTTTGAGGGAGGGCAATGTTTGGTGTGATTTGTATGAAGAGGCGAGATTAGCGGGAGAATTGGGTTGAATTTGTGTGTCAAAAATGATTTTTGGAGTCAAGTCAAGCAAACACTTTTTTTTTATATGCAAAGAACAGACTAGTCTTTTTACTTTTAGCTTAACTCCTTAGTAACAGCAACTTTTTGCCTAATCGATTAGTAAACAGAATTTACAGAGTTTCAGTATTAAATGAGCATACTCTGTTTTAAACAAGAAATGGAGAGAACTAATTTTGATTGTTTGAGTTATTTGTGCGGATTAAATATTTACATTGTATTTAACTAATATTTAAGTAATTTAAATCAATTTTTCTTCATATTGGTGCGGAGCACCATATGTGTTATTTGGTTTAATTCAGTTTATTTATTTGGTTCGATTAATGATTTTGTAGTTCCGTTAGTAAATCAGTGATTTAGTAATCTCACGAGTTTGATGATTGGTTCAATTTTTAACACATTGTTTCACACTTTTTGTTAATTTTAGTAATTAATAATTAATTAATCTATAAAAATTATTTTTTTTTTAATTATTTTTATAAATATGAACAATTTTTTTTACTAAAAGTAAATGATATTCATTCATTCAAATTGATAGAGTACTTCGTTGTAATACAAATTTAAAATCACATAAAACAAAAAGGATGAAACTGCGAACAAACTCACAACATCCATATTAATAACATAAAACAGAAAATTGCATAAGCCTACAAATATTCATGTCCAAAATATTCATGTCTCCTCTGTAGCTTTGATGGGTTATTTCTACAAGAATACGGAGTCTATCAAAGTAATATAAAAAGTTGTTGAATCCCACAGAGACCTAAGTGTCAATCTATCATTTTCTATTGTTATGATGTTTATCTAAGGCGATCAGAACAAATATTGAAATAGGTGAAAATAAAATGAAATAATAAACTTTGCTGAATTCAGATATATAATACTGGAATGTGATTCTAATTGACCAATGATACTCTTATTACTCATAAACTGGACTACCTTTGGGACAATATTTTCTTCCTTAGAAAAGAATCAATTAAAAGGGAATCATCGCTTTCGTGTATTTGGAATCAGATTTTACTCTCTACTTAATAATATTCGCTTTCGTGTACCCGGTGGACTTGCGTTAAAGAAGCAAAACCTTTTCTTAGAAATTAAATTCCTTTACTTAGTTAAAAAGTGGTTTTGGATGGAAAATTTGACTTTACAGGGTTCCCGACTTTCGCCCAGTCAACCGGATCCTAAAGTTATAAACCGTCTGCCAATAGTTTTAAAATCAGTTTTTAAAATATCAAAACTTCCTAAGCAGTTAATAAAGTTCTTTCGCGTTATTTATTAATAAAAAACTAAACAATTTAATCTTTATTATCGGACGAATTTCAATCTTACCCGGTGTATCTACGGTCCTACTTTCGTAGTGACCGAATCAAAATTATAATGGAAAATTGAAATAAAACCAAAGCAGTCCCAAGAGCATTTCTAAAAAAGTAATGTGTAGAGTACGGTTGAATCAATGATCCTCACATTTTAACAATATTAATTTAGCCGGACATAGTTATGACAAGCATTAAAACATGTATTTGAACTTAGAATTAAACATTTTTCGATAAAGCGGTAAAGATAAAAGCATACAATTGATAAAGTAAACTTGTAAATTAAAGTAAGAGAAGAACTTGACATTAATAAAAATAGAATGATTCAATGCGGAAAGTAAAACTTGTAATAAATAGATTTTGCAAGGTAAAATAATTAAAGTGCATGTAAGTAAACAAAGCGATGATATAAAAATGTCTTAACTATAAAAACCTGCTCCGAAGGAGAATTTAATCTGGTACAGGAAGTAAATCGAAGGAAAGAATGGAATGTGGAAATAAAGCTTCTAAAGTAACTGCTACAAATAAATGCTCCAAACTCGCTACAAGAACAAGTGAAATAACTCTCTGATGTGAAGAGTTATAGCTTTTGATGGTAAAATATATATCTTATAATGAACTAAGCTTGGATGCCTCAAAATGAAGTAAAAACATGTATTTATAATGTTATAAAATCCTACAATGTCAAGTGGTGGTTATTGAGTTCATGTGAGAGAAAATGGGTAGGAGTGGAAGACCATGCCAAGCCCTTTTGCATTTTTCCTTTTTTATAAAGTGTGGCAAACGCCACACCTTCTGTGGCACCCTGTAGCGATAGAAATGTTTAAGACTAAGCCATTGGATTGACTAGACTTATACTGATCAAAATAAAAATCGCCACCGCACTTTATTATTTCCAAAGGAATGAGAAAAGAGCGAATAACCCAAAAAGAGAGAGAAAGATTCTAGGTAAGGGGGTTGGTTATGCAAAGGGAATGTATTAGCACCCTAAACATCTACAGTACTTCGCAGGAACCTCTTTGTAAAATCTGTATATTTTGGCTATAAAATATTGTATGTAAAATAGATGGTGGAGGTGAGAAAAGAAGTATTTTTTTTAATGATTTTTGCACCTGCCGCAGTTGTGAACCTTTAGTGCCTACGTACCACCTTTCGGGCAATAGGGGATCAGGGTACACGTAGTTCACCTTTTAAAAAAAAATTTAAAACACAAGTGTGTTGGTTAATTTTATGAAATAAGACATCATCGTCATTATCCGTGTGGAAAACATACTTACTACCCACAATCATGAGAAAGGAGAATTTGCATCATCTCAAAGTGGAGGATATGGCTTGGATTTTAAAATCAACAATGTCTCACTCAACACCCAAGTGGAAAATGTCTCTCTTCACTACATATTGTAGAAGTATAGTTGTTTCCATCACTACAAGGATTGACAAGAGTCTAATCTTTTGAGAAAAGTTTAAAAATAAAAAGCCAAAGTGGCAAAATGGTTTGAAATGAGATTAGTTGACTTTTAGTTTTCTCACAAAAAATTTCAAGGTATTATTAAGTTGATTGGAGTTTATTTATGAAAAAAAATTGAAAATGCATGGACCTAAGTCCAAGTTTATTATGAAAGTGGTTCAAGTTTAAAAAAACAAGAAGAGTTTTCAAAAGGAGGAAGAAGATTTTTGAAATTAAAGAAGATGGGAGGAGAAGAAGAGACTATCCTAAAGCATAAGGTAAAAGTTAGGGATAAGAACCATCTAACCAACAAGAAGCCAATACTTGACATTATGAGTCAAGATAGAATTCTCATTCCTTGGATTGAAACTAAACAAGCAAAGGTACTAGACCTCTTGAGGGGACCAAACTTCAAGTGTATTAAGCCTTCTCAAAAATTGGGCAGAGTAACAACTGTATACGGGTGAATTCCATATTACAAACAAAGAGTGTAATCACAGTAACATGCACACAAAACAAACAAACAATTCAATGTCTTGAGATAAACCTCAAGAACTCCAGACAAAATATCAATTAAGGTCACAAGATCTCCAATCATAGGCCAAGGTTTCTAATTCTAAGTCCAAGAAGTCCAATACTCCATAATGCCAAGGATAGTAACCAAATAGTCCAAATATCATTAAATATTTTTATGGTTCATGATGATTATTAAGTATCTTAAAAAGAAAAGAAAAGCTCAAGTGAGCAAAATAAAAATAACAAGAATATAAATGCTAAAGTGGGCAAAATAAAAATGGCATGAAATATAATGCTTAAAGTAAAGGGTACATAAAGCATAAAAAATAAAAGCATAAAGTAAAACAATTTTATAATTAGTGGTTAGTTGGATGACCATCTTGAAACTTGCATTTGGAACTCATTAGAGGATTGGTAGAATCAAAGCCTCCATACAACAAGTTGCATTTGCTTTTTATCAAGTATATCATCCATTTGGAATCCTCAAAAGTACCTTTTAATGATCAACAATGTTTAAGTGATCCGCATTGACCAAAATTGATGAAGATCCATTAGAGGATTGGTAGAACTAAAGCCTCCATACAATGAATCTCAAGGTTATTGGATTAAAGAGATCAAATCAACATACTTGGGCTTGCTAACATAAGTTTGGGCCACGAATGATCATTTATTTGAACTAGGACAAAATTTAGCGCTATGTTAAGCAATCGTAAGTGGACTTATATAGAAGTCGCACCTATTTTGAGGCCGGTCAATAGCAATCTATGCACCATTTGTTTTGAGACATGATATTGATACCATGCTCCAATAACACTTAGTGCAATAAGAAAGAGATAAGATGAAGAGGGGTGGGAAAGAATATAAATCACATTTGAATTAAAATTTAATCAAACTATTATTAAAATCATTCATCCATTTTTGTGGAGTTAGACTCAACATCATGGATCCAATGATGTTAATAAAGTTCATGATCAAAAAGTCAATCCAAGATCAGCCAGAAAATAATTACAAAATAATATTGTATTTAATATATTCATTAAAAAAGGTTTTTTAAAATGTTTTAAAATAGAAATGAAAGAGAAAAATATCAATTATATTCAAATTAATTAAGAAATAAAAATTAATACCATAGAAAAATCAGAAATGAATTAAAATATTTTTATAAAAAATTTGGTAATTTTTAAACTCAGAAACTATTTTTAAAATTAAAAGAAATGCGTAAAATAAACCAAAAATGATAAAAATAGCAAAGTCGGAAATAAAAAATAGGTGAAGTCACCAATATTTGTCACAATATCATTGGATCATTCCATAATTTTTTCATAATTTAAAAATGCATAATAGTATTTTTAAACATTTAAAACAATTCAAATAAAGTGACAATTTATAAAAAATATCAAAACATAAAATAAAATTGTGAAAAAATAAAAATCAGAAAGAGAAAAATCAAAAATATTTTTCATAATTTTTTCAGATTTTTTGAACTTAAAATGAATTTTCTATGATTTTTTGAAATTTAAAATAATTAAATATAAAAATCAGAAATAAAAAATAAATTCAAAAATATGTGGACCATTGGATGAGAGTCAAAACACGTTAGTAATCAAAT